TTTTTTTTTTTTTTTTTTAAACTTTTCAACCATAAATTTCTCTAATTTTTATCAAAATTTATTAAAAACCTATTTTATGTTCAAACCAAACATGAATTATATATATATACATTATACTTCAACACTTCACTTCACATGTAAGTCAAGATTCATTTAAAAGAACTATCACAAAAATAAAGTGGCATCCATCATCGACCACTAGAATCAAGTAGGGCACGCAATAGGCGTTGGTTTAGCATGCTTTACAATCAATTCTCAAAAAGCACTTCAAGAATTGATTAAAAAAGGGGAAAAAAAGAAGCATTAACGGAACATGCACGAGGTACATATGTTATTTGTGATATGGACATCGCATGACTATGTTGAAGAAAATATTTAAATTAATGACATGCATGGGACATTGTGTAATAACGTAAACTTTTACATTAAATAGTTAAACACGATTTCAAAGAAAGCAAAATTGCAATCGTTTCTGAGTTCAAATTTTGCTACCATCCATATAATGAATTATGCACTTGTTAGATTTTAATAAAATAAATAAATAAATCCTGTCTGTTCGTGAGAGGGCATGTTGACAAGTAGTTAAAAACAACCTAACAATTATTACATATGATACACTATGACGACAAAAATTAAGGTCGGGAAGTCATCTAAATAGATAATTTAGGTTGTTCTTGGAGAAGGAACTGAATTCCTTGTACGCAATCAGAGTGGTAGTTTTACGGAGTTGAAGAAAGAAAGATTTATTTTGGAACAAATGAGAATTGTGCTTCCCAATGTCCACATATTTCAAGGACAGAAATGGAGAATTGAATGTAGAAATAAAATCGACCACACATTTACAACAATAATAGTTCGACATCAATAGAAAAAGGAGCATAGAATGCTGACCATGTTGCTTATTTAAGCAACGTTAGATATCTTCAATTCAATTTAAAGTATGAAATATAGGCGAGCGTTAAATATAGATGTAACTTGTTAAGTTGTAGAGGCTAATAATTATCATAGCAGACTTTGTATGTGGATCGATTTTGCGTAATTTCAATTTTGCCCTATTTTTTTCTTACAGCTAGGGAACCGTCATTAGGATTTTGTAATTATCATCAAGGAAGATATATTAGATGAAAATAGGATATGCAATTTTTCTTATGAACTTTTCATCTCAATGAATTATTCAGACGAAGACATAATCTCATCTTGAGGCAAACCTATATAAATTTTACGTGTTTTTTGTGTTTCCTTGCTGTAATTTTATTGCTCTTGATAACATAAAATTAGGATTTCTAATTCTCAACACAACATTCTCTAGTTATACTTTTCTTTTTTCTATTTGTTTATTTATTTTTGTGGGTGGAGTGGGTAGTGGTAGCAATAGATTGGAACCAACGGGCACAGAAAGTTATCTTTAGTCATCTATTAATAAATGTTTGACTTTCCAATTTTTTGCCTTAGTGGGAAAACCACTACCATATCCTTTCTTCTTTGACAAAGTTAAAATTTACAAGAGTCCTACCACTGGGGACCATATTCCTGTCATTTTTATGTTTGGGATTCTCGACCATACGTAATAGGATGGAGCAACTAGTATTTGACTATTAGCTTTCTTTTTCTTGTGTAGAATTTTATATATTATTTATCGAACATGACTTGAATGTTCAACATATCTCTCGAGTCAGAGACTACTAATCTTTTCTAGATGAGTCGAGAGGCTGAGCATAAAATCAGACAAATATGAAGTGATCATAGATTCCACTCCACCATCACTATTACAAAAAAGAGTGGACAAAAAACAAGAATATTGCTCACCCCACATTCCACATATAATGGCTTAGAGCTAAGAATGTGAGGTATCTTTTAGTATGAGCCTGTAAATATGTCAGGATATAATATATCCTATCTCACCACTATGAGAGAACCAGAAAGTAATTGGCTCGAGAATTTTCATCTGCGTGTTTGGTATATAATTTTGAACATTGTACGTATTGTCTAATCCTCTATAACCATCAAGTTATTCTCATCTCTTTCATTTGTGGCTCAACTCTCTTCTAAGACGAGTATGAACTAGTGTGACACGTCCCTTCCCAAGTCACAATAAATTTAAGTCAATTGTCATTTTATGTATATGTTTAATTTAACAATTTGGTCCTCGATGTCTTTTATCCCTCCATAGCTATATATGTATATGTTTAACTAAATAGTATGGAAAATGACTAATGCTATTCGTAATCAGTCACTACAGTAGTCGCCCTACATGACATCTTACTTGTGATTGTTTTATTATTAATATGGAAATTCATCTGATTGTTTTTTTTTAATTATTAAAATCATGATAGATAGGATGTCACTAGATCGATTGTTATAATCACTCACTATGAATAGTATTATTCTTTAGCAACTACAAGCCTAATGCCCACAGAAGGGGACTAAATAAGCAATAAGTTTACTTCTAAATTCACAGCAATAACACTAAAAGTGAACAGTGAACGATTGGTAGCATACTTTCAAATTTATTTCTTTTTTCTTGTAAAAACTTTCAATATAACAGTTACCTTTTCTTCTCAGTATCATTTGTTTGAGGTTCAAAAATGGCAAAAGAGGTATTAAAATTTTAAAATTCAGATTCAAACAACATGCAAACACATCCGTCTTAGTGCTATTTTTGTCAGTTCGACATAAGCTTAGAGCCCAATATGTTGGGTGACTGGGCTAGCAAAACCAACCCAAAAATATGAATTTTTATTTTATTTTATTTATTTATTATTATTATTATTATTTTTTGTATCTCCATCCATTCCTTATGGTAGTGTATCCCTCTTTGGTTTTTCTAAAATTCAAATTTTTTGTAGATTGTAATAAAAGTTGATAAAATGTGTAGTTGGAATATCAATAAAAGTTATGAATCTCATAAAATGTGTAGTTAAAATTAATTGTTAACTTTAATTTAAATTTTTCTCATTTTTATTTTAACTAAACCAAAAAAGGTTAGTTTATGTTCCCATTTAATTAGTTTGAATAGTTCGTTGCATTTTATTTCGTTGATTTTGACTTTTTTCAAGGTTAGAATTTGGTGACACTCCCTAGTTGAATAAGGCTCGTCCTCAAGTTCAAGTTGTCTTTGTCATGGCTATAAGAAAGGTATTCAAGACACAGACGAGGTAGCTCAATTTATATTTTTTCCAATTTGTTGAATAAGAATAACTTCAAAAGGGACATCGGCTTTGAAGCTTAGCGTCCATTCCTTTTGAAGATGAATGCAACCAAGCCTTTCTTTAGAAAATAGCCTGGCATAAGGTAAAATTGAAGCAAAGTCTGTATCATTCTTCATTTATTGGAGAAAACTCAACTTGTCTTCGAAGCTCCTTAAGCTTCTTAATACTCATGCTATACGATGACTTGTTTAGAGTAAAATGAATCCAATTATGACTGTCTAAATGGTAGAATATATGATGGGACTCTTCTTCAAGTGGTGCAATACGAGTTTTTTTAAGACGTTCATCTTCTTAAAGAAACCTCAATGCTTTGTAGTTTTCTATGAGACGATGATTTCCCTGTTGAAACCATGTTTTATGGTAAGCACGTGGATTATCTAGGATCTCAAGATCACAAAGATTTATTTCATAAACACGACGTTCATTAACAATTTCCGCAACACGACAAGCACTAAATTTAATGATGGTGCTAAAAGTCGAAATCTTGACTCTAATGATCTGCTCGAACTTGTGCAAATGTCGACGTGAGATTTTTGGACACAAGACTTGTGGCTGCATCAAAAGTGGGAACCCATTTTTCATGGCCCTAGAGTAGGAAGAATGTCAAAATTCTTGACTTGATAATACGCCCCAACAGCTTTACTTTGAGTTAGGATGCTCAAATTCCATATTCCTCTAGAATACCACTTTTCTTCCTCACCCCAATCCCCACAACAATAAAGATAATAAAAGAAAAGTGAAAAATCTATTTGGAACAGCATTCCTTGGTAACTTTTCTTTCTATAATTCAGCCAATACAGTCAGATAGTAGCCAAGAAGCCACGTCCAATGATGTTATGCATGAGTACTAGCTAATGATTGAATTGCTCACAAATTGATTCTCAATTCTCAAATGCTGCTCTATAAGATTCTTTAATATGAATTTAAGTTATCAAACACAACAGCCTCAATAAAAAGTAAATTTAAGTACAAGAAAGAATAACAGGCCCATGTTCTCTCTTCTAAAGTGGAGAATATATTTATACTTACACTACACATATACAAGGAAAAGATTAGAAATGCAAAGGTAAAGCCAAAGTGCTTCACATACCGTCATTCATACGGAGAAGTGAAGTTACGGCTTTATGGCAACATCAAGAAGGAAACTAATAAATGTTCCATTTCTGAAGAGATTATTGGATCCTACAAAGAGACAGGAACGAAAGGTTATAATATAAATAGTAATTCTTTATATGAGCATATAGTCTGTCCAAAGATCTATGTATAATGATGAAAT